GTGTTGTTTTTTTTTTTTTTTAATGTTAACATATTTTATTTTGTCAGCTGTGTATATGCAAAGAGGGTGGCCTGGCTGTGCTTCCCTGAGGGAGCTTCTGGCCAAGCCCAAGGCACCATCACGGTGGTGGTGAGAGCAGCCAGCAGGTTCAGCCTTTCCAGAAGGGTCCCCCCAGCATGGCTGGGCACCCTCACACAGGTGGACTTTGAGGTGCACCCCGACTCATCCCCACGTCCAAGCCTTGCAGAGCAGACTCGAGGGGTCCTGCTGCTAAAGCAAAAAGCAGCCCCCTCACCATACTCTCACAGCTCCCCCCCCCTCCCGTGCCCACAGGAGACAGTGGGATACAGGGGGTTTCCTCCATTTCTTAAGGAATGTGGTTTGTTTCAAATGAGGGGAAATGCCCCACGAACAGCCCACGTGCAGCTGGCTTTGTCTGGCTGCCAGGCCAGTGTTCTTGCTCTGGTCCCACAGCCTGGATGGCACGTGGGGATGCACCAGCTTCACTTCCCTCTTCTGACAATCATGGTCTTAGAAGAGATCAGCCAAAAGTTACACCCTTGCCTTAAAACCACTGTGGGCATTTCACAGACTAGAGCCCAAGGCCTTTATTCCTGCAGAAATCCTCATCCTGAATGTGCCAAACAAGCAGACAAACCAAAAAGGCTGAGGAGGACAGTGGGGACATGGGGAGGGGGTCTCTGTGGCCATCCCCATGGCCTTGTGGCTGTGCCTTACTGGAGGGCAGCTACACCTTCTGTTACTGGAGTAATGTTGAGTTTTGTGAGTGCCTGGGGTTGGTTTGTCTGCAGAAGAGAAGGGCAGCCCCTCCTTTACCTAAAGCAATAAGTGCCAGGGTGTTCAGGAGCAAAGCAGTTGTCTTTTTTAAAACAAATCTGATAGCATCAGACTTATTTGTTAGATCTTTTTCTGACAGAGCTTTTTGTATTTTTAGTGGTGTCCTTGTCTGTCCCCCAGCACTGCCATGGCTGTCCTGTGGGGACAGAGGGTGGGCCGTGCTGGGGGGGGTTATTCTTGTGGGATGTGCCAATGGACATTGCACTCACAGTGGGAGCACCCACAATGTGTGGCCCTGGTTCCTCTCCCTCTCTGTACCCTCTGTGGCCTCTTGCAGAGAATTGAAAGTGGAGCCTTTAAGAGTATTTTTTGTTGCAGAGTATATTTTGTATTAGCAGTAATAGATACTATAATGACTCTGTGCACCTTCTAAAGATTTACAAGTTCAGGTTGCTGCTTGTAATAACCAACTCTTGTTATACCCAAGTTGTAATTAATGTCTGATGTACAATTAAAAAGTTGGGTTGTTTTTTGTTGGTTTGGTTGGGTTGGGTTTTTTGGGGTTTTTTTTTGTTTGTTTGTTTTGGTTTTTTTACACCATTGATTCTTTGTAGTATCAGGATTATTTGGTTTGGGCAGCAGGGTCAGTGGTTGCTCCCAGGCAGGCAACTGGTGCTGCTGGGTTGTGCTCCAGGGCAGGGTGGGATGTGCCCTTGCCCAGAGAGATGCTGCTGTGAAGCACAAGAGCAGCAGGAGGATGTGAAGGGGTGAGTGTGTGTGCAGCCCAGAGGGGTGTGGGGACAGCAAGAGCCCTGGCAGGGCTAAACAAAGCTTAGCCTGGGGTGCTGGTGCTCTCTTTGGGTGCTTTATTCCCTTTTTCTAGACCAGCTGCCTGGTGGGTACCCTGGTTCTTTGGATTTAGCATGGGAAAGTTTATTTCTCTCACAGCTCAGACCATTTTGCCCCTTATCTTCTCTTCCCTGCACCCACAAACCTTCCCCACACTCCCTCTGATGGCTGACAGGGCTCTGTGAGCCCGTGGACACAGCTCTCAGTGCCTGCAGAACTCCCTGCACTGCTGCTCCACCAGCCCAGGACCAGGAGGTGGGAGCCAGGGGAGCATCACCCCCCACTGGCTGCAAACCCACCCCAGGCCCTCCTGCCCAGCTCTGCAGATGCTGCCCCCGCAAAGCAACAATATCTGAGGCTGCCCAGGTAAGAAACATTCCTGTTTATTCCCTTCCCGGTCCCATCGCTAACTTGACACTCTGCACGTCGCGTGTGTCCCGCTGAGCTGGGAGCGTGAGCACCTTTTTGCACGGTTAGACTTGGCCCGGGCAGAAAGTCAGGGCTGGGGTGTGGGTGGGGGGTGCAGGGGCAGCCCTGGATTGTCCTGCTCCTGCTGGGACGGGCAGGACACGGTGCCTTCCCAGCCCGGCCAGCAGAGCCGGGTCGGTGCGTGTGCTCCTCCTGCAGCTGCG